GATTATCATATACTTTGAAATTTATCGTATTGCGTTTCGTCAAGATCCTCTTCAAGAACTTTCTATTTTTAATCATGAATCTGCGCATTTGCATCCTGATGCATACGAACATATAAATAGAGACAGCCAGATTTCTACGAAAAGTAACCACCCCAGAAGTTAAAGCTTTTAAAACCATGATCACATATCCGGGCCAAAGTCTTCCAGTCGCCGAACCAATTGCCGTCTATCGTGACAATAGATGCGTATTGCTAGAAGATAACGAACTCCAGCAGACGGCGAATAGAGGAAACCTATTTTCATCCTTTAAAATTTTCAAGTTGAAGGCATATATGCACCCTTTACCTTATCCGAACTTTCATGTAGACAAAATTAATTGACGAATGGAAATTTTTTCACGTAGGGACCAATCGATGTTAATTTCTTGATTGATCTCATCTTTCCACCCGAGGACAGGAATTGTTATGAAGTCGAAACGTCGGAATACGATGGAGAAAGCGTCAGGGTTCGAATCCTATCTAAATTAACTATATAAGTTTTTTTGTATGTTATCTTGTTATTATGATCTAAATGTTAATAATATTAGGTCAGGTTCAAATTCTTCAATAAGACCCATAGGGATTTGATTGAATATTTGAAACGAGCGTCACAGAACCTTTCCCACATTTCTGGTAATGGTCTTCGTGACTGGGTACCGGCTGACAAAATAACCAACCAATTAGTTTATGGAGATTCTTATAATCAACTTTCCTCATTCACAACCGATTATTCCGACGATGACAATGAATACCCGGAAGTTGACGAGGAAGGTTTGATCAACGAGTTGAAAAACTTGGCGGAACAAGTGAAAGCACAACGCAAGGATATCGATGATGCTAAATTGAACTATTTATTCTATTGTGCATTTGAGAAAAGCAATACGAGCTTAAGTCTTTATGACATTAAGAATGAATTCTTTAGCCAGTTAAATATTGTACAATTTTTTCCCAGATCGAATAATCCTTTCGATCTGAATGATATCAGCGACTTGAGACAGGCCAAGGAAGTCATAGGTGTTGCTATTTTATCGCATTTACAACAATTTCTCAATAAAGAAATTTCGAAAAAAATTGTAAGTTATCAAGTCTATTTTGAAAAAAGTAGAAAAGATTTTTTTTTCTTTCATTTCTTTTCTGAAAACCAAGACATCTTTACTGTTTTTAGACAACGGATCCAAGATTTTGTCTTGCCATTACGTTGTGGAACCTCATTAACACTATGCACACAGTTCATAAATCCTATCAAGCCTTAAAAGAAAGCGACGAAAAGTTTAGAGGAATTCTTAAAGAAAAGAAATATATATATTTAAAATATCTGAATAATATGGAACTCTGGCTTGTGAATATGTTGAAAGTTCTTGAAGAGGATCTTGACGAAACGCAATACGATAAATTTCAAAGTATATGATAATCAAATTATT